CTCACTATAGAACCTTTTACAAATTAACTCCAAAACTTACCAAACAACCCTCAGCCTTCAGAATTATTTACAATCTAAGTCCAATATTTACCAAACACCCCCTAACTTCTGAAAATCATTACAAACCAAACCAGCAATTACACTTAATCCCCGATATTTAAAAGTTATAACATTTAGCTCCCAAAACCAACGCCTCGCTAAATTATGCACTTAGGGATATTATTTATTTATTAATTATATCTATTTCTTTATTTAATTAAATTTCAAACGGAATGTTATAGAAATTTTGTCTTATTTTTTCTAAAAAAATATAAGTTTCTTTATTTTATGCACCGGAGGGTTTTGTCAGTTAATTAATGGAATTAACACGTACACTTCAGATGAGTACGCCATGTGTACGCTAAGCGTACTAAGGCGCACCTTAATACGTTGGGCGTATACTTCGTACCCCGGGCGTACGAGGTAGCATGTGAACCCTAATTTTAGGGCCTTGGTTCATATTTAAGCAGCATTATAGACTAAAACCCTATTCTTATCGAGTCTCTTTTAGAGATTTCGACCCTCAAGCAACTCTAGAGCAAAAGGAAGCCATTTTGTGAGCCTTTAAGAGTGTTTTGGAGTGGGTTTTGAAGAAAGAATAAGGTGGTGTGAAGACCTTGGAGTGAAGTACTTTGCAGATCTGGGATTTCTAGCTTGTTTGCAACGTCAAAAAGGTATAAAGCTTGCATCTTTTCCACTCCATCATGTAGATCTAGGATTTTTCTCTTCAAAGTTTCTTTTTGGTCCCAAAAATGATGATTCCTGAACAAAGCATGTTCTTGACCAATTAAGCCGTCCTTTCAAACCTTTGGAAGGGTTTTGAGTAATAAAAATGGGTTCCAAATGGTTAGTTTTGCTCCATGCATTATGTAAAAGGTCTTAATGGATTAAGACCTTAACTTAAGCACTTATTGGACATGCTAACTCATAAAGTCGGAGACTTTATGAATCCTAAGAGTGTTCTAGTTATGGATCTACAATATGGACATTAGAGCTTTAACCTTTAAGATCTTAATGGAAGTTATAGGTTTTTGGTAGTACCCTTCGCGTACTTGGAATATGCCTTGCATACGAGGTCAACCACCACGATGATGGTCAACATGCGAGGACGTGAGTATGACCAACGTACCTTTGATGTACACCCTTCGTACTCACTTTGAGTCGTTTTGGCTGAGTTGACTCGGTTGGGTTGACTTGGTTGGGTTGACTCAGTTGACTTAGTTGGTTTGACCATTTTGACTTTAAATTTGACCAAGTTTGACCTCAAT